TCTTCACCCTCCCAGCCACTGTTTCTTCCCATGGTGCATGGCCACCAATCGCTTCTCAAAAGCATGTGGTATGTGACTGACAGCTTGTTTTATTTACAAGAGATGTGTCTTGACCTTTCTTTTCAGAGGAAACTAATAAAATGAATTTTCTGGACTGCCTCATGTAATCCCTTTAAATTTTATTGAAAATCTGCAGTACAATGCTTAAATTACTATGCACTGACATTGAGTCAGTGCCAAGAATAAGACCAGCACAGACTCCATGACAGACTCAGAGTGCAGTCAAGGTATGCACAGAGAGACTCAAGTCCCAGATATGAGAACATACATTACCTCACAGGTGACTACATATGCCATCCTTGGACTTAAGTGTGCAATGTTTCTCTTCAGCAGAGCAATTCCAGTTATATAAGCCCAAAGAGAAATAGATATTAGAATCCATGGGGAATAGGCTCGGCTGAATTTTTCCAAATTGATTCTTGATCTTATCCCAGGAGATCCTCACCCCTGAGTATTTACATGGCACAACCAGCCCTTCATTACTCCACAGATCACCACTGTCACCACACTAACCTCCATGTACCCTATTTTCCAATATGGCCACTTGGTCTGTCAGGCTGATCAGCATGTGACTTGCCAAGTAAGTGCTGACCAAGTACTCATGTTATAGACCCTGGAGTCCTGCGGCCTGCTTCCTGTGTCCCTTATCTCAGTCCTCTAATCTAAGGCTGTCTACGCAAATGTCTTCAGGTCCTGAAAGCTATGAGAGATATGTTAAATTCTGGGTACACATTGTCCCACCACACAAAGTTTCAAAATGTTACATTTAACACCTTCTACTGATAAGCAAAGCACTTCAGCAGGCATCAGTTTACCACCCCCTTTGGGCCTCCAGCATAATCTATAGTCATTACTTTCTTAAAAATCCAACTCAAAGTCAAATTCACTTTATAGTATATACTCTAACTACCATTCCTTTCCATTCCCTCATTGTATGTATAAGTTGTACCATATTTGTCTTTGGTACTTAGGCCTTGATAACAAAATAAACTTTGATTTATATCCCAACATTTTATCAGTTCATACCTTAAATTTAGTCAACCAGAATCTCCGAGCATAAAGTGTATAGTGTGCAAGTTTTATAAGATTGCCCTTTTATAACAAATTTCATAGCTAAGTGTGAAGATTTATAACACCCACACCTCAAACTCATAACAATAGGACAGAAGTTAGTTTTGGAGGAAAGGGAAACATTCTGTTGTTAATTTTCGTTAATATGAATAAACCATGTGGCTTTCTGAACAAGAGTCACTGTGTCTTCCAATCAGCTACATCTGCCTTTTCTCACTGTGTGGTTTCCCAAACAGCTGTCAACTCCGGAAGTTAACCTGAAAGACCAAGGAGGCCTATCATCTGCCGCCCTCTAGTGGAATAAAGGGAAGTAGCAGGCATTATGGTCCAGAAGGAGACTGTTAACAGACACCAAGAAAAATATCCCATTCTCCGCATGGCAAATTTGGAGTGATTATAATAAAAATAGGAAAAATTACAGAGGATTCAATCAAGTTGAAGTTTTCTATTGTAGAAGGTAAAGTTTGTGTTGAAGTAAATTAAGTAGGGATCCATAATTCACAGGTGAGATAGAAAGCCACCAAGAAAGAGAAGGGAACCAGGATATGATCTTCATACCATGCAGCAAACGTCATTTTTTTTTAACTAATAAACTTTAGTGGTATTTTTCTACAATATAAAATAATATAAACTATTTTACATGTTTTCTTTACAACACAAGTGTGCATTCATCCTGGGAAGTGCAAAATAAGCAATCAAAATGAAATCACTCTCCACTAAAGGAATATCACTGACAATAGTGTGAGTCTATCATTCTAGACATCACTGACTGCATCAGTCGATGGATGGTTCTGTTCTAAACTCCCAGCATACGTCTTGCATCCAATTTCACAATGTGCTCCTTTACTCTCTCTGAATTCTAAGCTCAGGAAAAGTCGCATTCTTCCCCAACTTACTCTTAACCAGTGTGATTCATCTACTCAGAGCACAAGCTTGTGTAAGTGTCCTGAGGCAGGTAGGCAGCTGGATTTCTTACCCAGGCCCTCTCTCATCTGACTTCCAACAGGCTTCAGCAAGTGACCAATAATAGCATACTATTTTGTTGTTCATGTGGTAGTTAAAATAATAAATCCAAATATATGGAAATAAGCCAACATTCATACTATCAAATGTAACTGTTTTCAGTATGGTGAGTTAATTAAGATCTGCTGCCTAGACATAAACTTTATAGGTTATGACTTTTTATACCTGCCTTAGTAAATACATTTTTAAATTGCATGTACATGAAGGCTTTTTTCCAAAAATTATGGAAGATATTTAACTATTGACCAAAAAATTTCAAATATAACCAATGTGCACTTCTCTAGAAATGAATTGTATCATTTCTCTAGGCATGTGTAGTTTGGTAGTTTGTCTCCATGTTATCAACACAGAAAAGAACAGCATCTACTTAAGAGAAATCCCTGATGGTAGGGATGAAAGACAGCATGACCAGATTTAATGTTAAAGCAAAAGTAAAAACTCCAGGATGGTACTTAAGTGAGTGTGATGGGAACGTATTGTTTCCTTATAATGATTTTAAATGGAAATTACAATTCAATCACAAATAAAAGTAAATTGTAGACAGTGAGGCGAGCAAATCTGTTTCACTCGGATTCACGGTGATTATCAAATTAGCAGCTACTCATTCACCACTAACCATTTTCAGTCTTCTTGGTCTCTCTAACAGCCCTGAACTGCAGCTTCATGGTGATTGCAATAGTGGCAGCTCATCAGGGTTGTATTTTAGCTGTGCTTTTATCTTCCCTGTTTTTCCTTCTGGTTGCTTGGCAAGGTAAAAGGAAAAAGAACATAGGTGAATGAGAACTTATGCCTGCACCTGTTTTAAAAGTTGTACAACATAAACTGAAGACCTAAGGTCTGGCTGGCTCTAAGCTCCCTCCTGAGCTTCTGGCTTTCTGCCCTCAGGGACTCCATTCTGGCCACACTGCTCTCCTTGCTGTCTGCAGACACCACACACACTCACTCCTACCTCGAAGCCTCTGCAACAGCTACTCCTGCTGCTAAAACACTCTTCCCACTTACCTCTGCAAAGTTTATTGTTCCACTCCTGGAAAAGTATGGGTTTAAATGTCCCCTCTTTGAAACTTCCTCAACTGAGGATCCTTTCTAAAATAGGATCTTCTATCATTTTCAACTCCCTCATCTCCCTGACTCTGCTTTGATTTTTCTTTCAAAAGCATTTCCCTCTATCTATGTAATATTAGATACTTACTTTGAATGACCAATATCACCAGGAGGTTCTGAGGGAAAAGGAGGCAACATGAACCTGGGAGCCTGGGAGTACATATGTTGCAAAGCTCACCAAAGATGCTGGTGCACACTGTGGTTAAGAACTACTGGAGTGATGGATTAATTATAACCTTTGGAGTCTGATGGTCTGGATTAAAATTCCAGTTTGGCAAATATGGCCCATTACAGCTGTAGGATCAGTCAGAAATATGGCAGCAATAGCACCCATGTCTCAGGGTTACGCTGAAGATGACACCAGGTGATGGATTTGTAACAGCTTCCTGACCTAGATAGTGCTATAGAAAGAGTAATTACTATGCCCTATTTCTTCTCCTTTGGATGTGAATGCTTCACATTTTGGATAAAGATAAATAAATAATAATGGTATCTATTTTTTAATTAGAACTTTAAACAGCATCTCAGAATCATTGCTTTCTTATAAACTCTAATACATAAGTCCATTTTTGTTCCTAAACACCGTACCACAAAAAAGGGGGGGGGGATTGAATTTAGTTAATTCTCATGGGCAATCCAACTAATTCCATATTCTGAAATTGAAATGCAAAATTACTAGCAGTGATTTTGCCAGCATGGCTGGCCAGAGGATTTGGTGTATAGACAGCCCTACACAAGTTCCCCCCCCACCCCTAGCTGTATTTGAACTTCATATTTTTCAGGGGCACTCAGCAAAGTGGAAGCTGATGGCTGCCAGGAGATGATGCATCAGACTAGCCCATGAAAGCCCAGGCTGGAAAGACCTGGAGACGGCACTTCAGGAAGCAGGAAAAAAGTGGACATTTTGGAAACATTACCTCTGATCACTGGAGAGTCCAGTGTGATCTCCAAAAGACCTAAGACCTGAGTCTTAAAAAGCAACTGCTGACTTTGGGCTTTGATTCTGGGAACACTCTGCATGACATAGGCGCTGTCACCACAGAAGTGATTCTGCGATAGGAATTATTCTTTCAGGGAACTCATGTATTGCCGTCTTTTATGGCAGAGACCACCAAAAAGGACATAAGAAGAGCCAGGTGGTGATATTTTGCTCTTCATGTGTACGTAGCCAAGGAAGTAAATATTTTATAGATTTACTTCTATATATAAGCAATGCCAGTAAGGTTTAATTGTATTAAGAGTGACACCTAGTGGACAAGCTTTACTAAACACTGTTTTCTGTCATTTCCCCTCCTGCTCCAAAATCAAATTAGCTTATAAAAGTATTGAATAGTGTAGCCAGATTGTCATAAAACCAATGTCTTTGAAAACTGCACCCAAAATCCTAGAGCTCCCTAAAAGAACAACAGCAAAAAGACTTGTGACTGAAACCAGTGGTTTGTTTAAGATTTATTTATTTATGTATTTAAGAGCTGAGGTAAAGGCCAGAGATGGCAGATGGCGGGGAAGAGGATTCACCAGAGACAGGGCAGGGAGCAGAACAGGCAGATCAACTGAAACACACTGCTGAGACGAGCAGCAGGTGAGAGAGAGGTCTGCACCATGTGGGTCACCTCCCTGGCAGGGAATTGAACTCCTGCTGCAGTGGCTGTGTGTGACTTCATAGTGATGTGTCCTAACCTGTTGTGCCACCAGGGAGGACCCTGAAACAATTTTTACAGCATATATGTTTATGAAGATACTGGCAAGGAGAGGAAACAGAAACAAAAAACAAAAAAATAGATAAATTTTTGTCCAAGTTTCTCTAGTATGCTATGAAACAGAACAAAGGAGGCAGCAATTCAACTTTGATGGGGAATTATTGAGTAGAATTCTCAAGATTGAATCCAAGCAGCAAACATTCACTACTACTCCCTGGCAACCCTGCAATTGGCCCCATTGCCTTGTAGGAGCCAGAAACCCACTCCCCCCAGAGAGTCCTGTGCTTCTGCAATGATTTCATCCCAGCTCCCAGATAGCAGTGCTACGTGGATGCAAGCATGAATTTGAATACCAGGTGCTTTGAGCTTTTTTTTTTCCCTGATCTTAAATTAAGGGCATAGAAAGTAACACCCAGTCAGACCACAAAGCAGAGCCATGGAACTGTCCCAGGAAATTCAAGACTTTGTAACTAAATAAATGCTTGTTGACTTTTTTTTTATTTCATAAGAAATTCATGCTACTGGCCCTCCCTGGTGGCGCAGGGGTTTAAAGCACAGCACTGAGAATCAAAGCCGCTTCCGCATGAGTTCGATTCCCGCCTGCCCCGGAGGTGACCACATGGCGAGCCAGACCTCTCCTGACCCGCCCGCTGCTCCCCTCAGCAGTGTGCTTCATCTATCTGCCTGTTCTGCTCCCCACTCTGTCTCTGGTGAAGCCTCTCGCCGCCCCTGACCCTCTGGCCTGTACCCCAGTTCTGTATGCACAAATAAATAAATCTAAAAAAAAAAAAAAAAGAAATTCATGCTACTTCCTAAATGTCCTATGGAACATTTCTTTCTTTCTTTCTTCCCTAGAAACAGCCATGGGCCATTATATGAGGATTTGACCAGTAGAGCTGCTGTGCCTCTCCGATTCTACCAGTTTGTTTTTCAACATGATGGCAGCTTCTGGTCTGTCACCCCTCCGCACCTGAGCCCGTCACAGACCTTTGCAGCTCCCACCAAGGGCTTTTCCCCTCCAGAGTGCTGCCAGCTGAGACCTCCCTCCCAGCTGCCTCATAATGATTCCTCTGGAATGCACCAAGTAAGCATCAATTTGCCATGAAATAGCTCCCACTCAAGCACCTCCTTTCCACTAGAAACTTGTGCTTTATTACTCCCGGGCCTGGGCCACACCAGGCTGTTGGTTTGCTCCAGCAGCCATGTTGAGCCTAACAGCATAATCCACTCCTGTTTAATTGGTTAAATCGGATTAAAGTGTGGTTTTGGCCAGGGTATAGTGTGCTCACTTGTGTGTGTCTTAATGCTGAGACCCAAAGGCACAGTTTAAAAATTAAGTTTTGCAAGCCACAATGATGAGCATCAGAAATAGCTAATAGACTTCACAGCTAGTGAATTCTTAAAATAAGTTTCATTACCAAGACTGTTGATTTTCAACTAAATCATAAGAAGTAGGTCTGGTATACAGTAGTGCTAATATGAATCCCGGTGTAAAAACTGTAACAATGCAGGTCCTTACCAAAGATATTTCCCCCTGTTTAGGAACTCCCACTACTCACTACCACCTCCAGGAGGTCATCTTGCCATCATTGATAAGGGTGAAAAAGTCACTCAGCTTATTAAAGCAGTCTCACAAGTACATGTAAGAGCTAAAAACTGATGCCTTGACTCCAGAATTTCCAAGAGTACCAATATTCAAAGCTGTTTATACTATACTATATAGTGCATATATATATATATGTTATATATATTTGTATATAATATATACATGTTATATAAATTTGTATATCTCTATAGAAGGCATTAGTTTTCTTCATTCTTTCTTCATATTATCTGGTTTTCCCTTTTATTAGCTAAAAATAAATGATGTATTCTTTTTCTTATTTTTAAAACAAATGTCCAATGCAGTAAAAATTAATAATCTAAGTAAAAACACTTTTAAGGTCCATAATACAGCCATGGAGACAACCATTTTTAGCCCTTCAGAATATATATTCAGAACCCTTGCAAGACCGGTTGTCAGGGTGCTATTCACAGATTGATGTGGGCTGTACTCACTGCTATAAAAGAATTAGAAGCACTTTTTTCTCCCTCCCCCCAAGCTAAGTCTTAGAACCAGACATCAACAACTCAATACACTTTAGTTGCAGAGCTAGAAAGAAATGGTTATGTAGTACAAGGTGGCTAGTGCTAAGTGGAGACATGGGTAAGAAAATGTTCTAAGGAGAAAACCCGACCAGTGGGTCCAGGGAATAAGGAAGGCCTTGCCCCACTCCCCAGCAGGCTGGAGAAGTGACTTGGCTTCTGGAAAGGAGACTGAAGCCAAGATCTTTGGCTTTATCTGGCTGCATAAGATCCTGCTACTCAGCTGACACAGAGGAAATGAAGCTGCCCTCCCAGAAAGGGTGATTAGCATCTCCATGGTTTCCAAAGGCCCTCCACTGTTACCCACCAGCAAAACTCTGTGGAAATGGAATTTCCAGTCAGTTCTAAAGGTATGTGAGAAGGGTCCTAACTTACTTCATGTAGAACTGTTAAAGTCCATTGACCAAATCCAGCAGAAACACACTGGCCGAGTCTTCAATAAAAAGGATTAGAGAATGCCTTCTTATAGGACTGTAGCTTTTTATGAATACTTTGAAAGAGAACTTAAAGAAGCAGGTATCAAATCTGGATTGAGTACTGTCAATAGGCAGTTTGGTGATAAATATATACATTTTTATGTTGCAAAGAATGAAAGGGGGTGAAAGCAGTCATTAGTGTAAAGAGAAAGCAGCAGTCACTCACACTATAAGGCAGCCATTTTTGAAGCTACGTAGAATGTTTTAGCTTTTGTTGAATTCCAAACAGGGGCCTAACGGCCTTGGCTGACCATTGTTTACACTCTCTAACATTGTTAATGTTCACTTGGGACTACCAGGATCTACCAAAGGACTATAACATCTCTTTGACCAGAGCGCACGCGCACTCTTAAACTACATTATAAGCTGAAACTTCACTATGTATGCATACTATACCATATAGCGTATATATAATATATATATGCAATGTGTATATATACATATATATTGTTTATAATATAATTTACCTAATGTTATATCAACAAAAGGTTTCTATGATAATATACACCTGCATCACTTTCAATGAGTGAATGGGGTGCCATTGTACACAGATAAGCCATAAATATTTAACTAATGCTCTACTGATTGTCATTTAGAATGATTTCCTCTATGTATGTATGAGTATCCATATGAGAATGTGTGTGGGAGAGGCTTTCTGGCACTGCCATGACAGAGTCCCATAGACTGGGTGACTTGAAAAACAAATTCAGGAGTTCTCCCTGGTGGCGCAATGAGTTAAAGCACTGCATTATGAAGTTCTCTGAAGCTGCAGCACAAGTTCAATCCCCCACCAGGGAGCTGACCCACATGGCATGGCAGACCTCTCCTGACCTGCCCGCTGCTCCCCTCAGCAGTGTATTTCAGTACATCTGCCTGTTCTGCTCCCCACTCTGTCTCTGGTGAATCCTCTCACCCACCACATTCTGGCCTGTACCCCAGTTCTGTAAGCATAAATAAATAAATATTTTTTTAAAAAATCATTTTCTCATAATTCTAGAGGTTAGAAGTTCAAGAAATTAGAAATCTTCCCTCTGGAAACTCCATTCACAAAACTACATTATTAGAAAGGTTGAGATCACCTTCTCCCCTAAAAGCAACTATATATATATATATATATATATATATGTACAAAAAAGAGACCTAGAGCATTCCCACAGAGGTCTCAAACTAAACTGCTGAGGAGAAGGGGTGGGAGGTAGCGAAGGAGAGTGTGAGGAGGAATGGGAGCATAGACAGCCAGCAGAATAGGAGAGGAGACAGTCATCCAGGCTATTGGATACCTCACAGCACTGTGAAATTCCCTGGAGATTTGCCTATGCACAGGCCCAGGCATGACTTTGGGGCATTGGGAACTCTGACAATGGTGAGGGCACAGAAAACTCTCCACCATCCCTTACCCTGAGGAGACCAAAGAGATACCAGGCTGAGCCAGGCCAAGTTCCATAACAGGCCCAATAGCAGAGAAGTACAGCTGAGACAACTTACTAATCCCTTGAGAAAATAAATGTTGCACAGATCTCACAACCCCACAGAAGTGGTGGAGCTGAGGCAGGGTGGTGATGCTGTTGTAGCAGATAGAACAGGGCAGCATGGCACCACTGAGGCTCTGCCTCCCTGCCATGCCAACGCAGTCTAAAGTGTGAACCCAGCACCCAGACTTAGCTTCCCCCACGAGGAGACTCAGACTCACAGATCATGACTGGAAACGAGACAGAAAGGAGTAGGAGGGATTAGGGTGGTAAGTTAAGACAAAGAAAATATGAAACATACCTTGCTATGAAGAGAAAGGGGAAGACAGAATGTAGAAGTGACCAACTGCACCTCACCAACTGAGTTTGAGTCCATGAACGTCAAACTTCCCTCCTGCTCATGCCTCATACCAAGACAAACAAAACTAAACTCCCAGCACCCAACAACAGGAAAAAGCAAATAAGGCAGTATACATATCTAGGAGGCAAGGAGCAACTCACATCGATAGGAAAGCACAAGATGAACTGAAATTCTGGGACAAATATAAAGGCACAGAAATAGAGCATATATTAGAAAAAGACTTTGAAACAACAATATTAAAAATACTGAAATAATTCAAGGTCAGTCAAGGCACATAGGTAGATTCAAAATCTGAGAAAGGTGACCCAGAGACAAAGAGCGCTCTTTGCCAGAAAATATTAAAATATCACAAAAACTCTGAATAAAATTAAACTGGCATAAGAAAGAACTTCAGAAATAGAAAATGCAAGTAAGCAAACCATCCAATTACAAAAAGAAAAAGAAATAAGACAAAGGGAAAGTGAGGCAACTCAATGAGAAATATCAGACACAATTAGCAAAGGAAACAAGAATAATTGGGATACAAAAAGGTGAAAATAGAGAAAAGGGGTCTCATACCCTATTTAAAAAAATAATAAATGAGGCCCTCCCTGGTGGCGCAGCGGGTTAAAGCACAGCACTGAGAATCTAAAGCCGCCTCCACATGAGTTCGATTCCCGCCTGCCCCGGAGGAGACCACATGGCGTGACAGACCTCTCCTGACCCGCCCACTGCTCCCTTCAGCAGTGTACTTCGTTGATCTGCTTGTTCTGTTCCCCACTCTGTCTCTGGTGAAGCCTCTCACCGCCCCTAAG